GCAGCATTTGAGAAGGAGCCTTTACAATTCTCTTAGCGTGCATGCTAACACCTCACAAGAGACACCTAGAATATACATTCCCTTTCTGGAATTAATACCTGGTATTGCAGTATAGTTCACTGTACTATTTCTTGGACAATTATATAACTGCTGCACTATTCTCTCTCTTCGTGTATGAGAACCAGTGGTGTACTTTCCCCTCATTACTTTCTAGAAATTTGTTTTTTGGAAGAAACCTAAGTGAAAATTCTTGTTATCATTCTTTTCATGACAACTGGAAAGTTCAAATTTGTAGAATATTTTCAGTACACTGATTCAGACTCAGGGCATTTTCACATACAACTAAATTAACTCAACTAAATTATTCAGACCCCCAAGTTTTGTAATTGTTCAAGTATGCGAAAATTTGATTTGTTCCAATTTATGTTTCTTGAGAATGTGACATATCAAAGTTTAGATCTAAAAAGTATTCAACAAATTAAGGCCATAATTCAGCAGTCCACCTTTCATTCTTGAGTTACAGAAAAAGAAAAAAAAATTGTCAAATCTCTTGGTGCATTCTGACACCTACTTTATACACCAGCACGGTTCTCACTGCCATCTGTGGACAATTCTATAACGATCTCTTCTGTCAATTCTTCTTTCTTTGGTCGACTGACGGAACATGCTGCAGTATACTTTTGTCATGTCAGATAAGACATTTGAGTGCATGCTCCAAATTGTGTGGCAGTATAAGGTTTCAGTGCAGCAAATAAAGACATACATGAAAATTCTCTCTCAAAGGAAAGAGTGGTTGCTGGATACTTTGATATTTTATTCCCTGAAAATTATAGTTTGCACTGCGTGTCTTCTGTCAGTTTGCTTTGATAGCTAAAGTGATAGTGGTTAATTATGGTTAATTAGGGCCTATTATGGTTACCGCTGAGATAGATTGTGGACCAAAATAGTATATTGGAATGAATTTGTTTCATTTTTAAAAAAGAGGATAATGTACAGAATTTAGAAACTGAGTTGGTGGGAGGGAAGCAGTATTAGATTATTAAATTGGGACAAGTTTGAGTGGAAAGATAACAAAACATAAAAAAATTGTGATAGAAGGTGCATATGAGCAAGAACTGAGAGTAAAATAGGGGGGAATGAAAAAAGGAGAGGTTCAGATGGTGAGAGAAGGAGAAAAGAGATATTGAAAGAGATCTTGTGTAGAGAGGGAGAGAGGGGTGAGGGAAAGGAAACCAGGGAAAATGGGACAGAGAGAGAAAGAGTGGGGGGGGGGTGGAGGTGGGGAGAGGGGTAGAGAAAGAGTAGTGGGAAATTGATTAAGTGAAGGGGAGAGAGGTGGAAGAGAAACAGGAGGAGAGAGGAGGGGTGAGAGTGACATGACAAAATCAAAGAGAAAATAGGTATACATTGCAAAAAAGGTCAATGGCTTTATGATGGGGGAGGGGTTGGGGAGAAATATTATTTCCCAGCTTCGTGAACCCTGACATCCACAAAGCATTTCCATGCGTAACAGGAGTATTATCAATTCATCCAATACCCTATCAATATTTAGCATGTCTAGAGTCTGGCCTCATGGGGGAGACATGATGATAATTCATACTTTAATCTTTGTGTGAGTGTGAGTGAAGACCTTCATCTGCATCTAGAGAGGTTGTATGCATCTTAACCGCTTTACAAGCTGAACAAGATGAACTTAGCAAAACCATATTGAACTGATTTGAAGTAAGGTAAATATGATATGTCATGAATTAAGCATGCATAGCCTGATTAAATTCAAATATTGCTTAGATTAATCATGTTTGAAATAAAAAGAGTATATCTATCAATTTTAATGAATTTCACTTGAATTTCTTAGAAAAAAGTTTTAATAGAAATGAATGCTTAAAGATGAAGTTGAGTTCTGGTCATGCGATTGCATTGTGAAAGAAACGGTGTGGAATCGAACAGAAAAGGTTGATCATCTAGCATATAAGAATTTGTGTGTATTGCAAGGTTCTGGAATCATCAAAATGATAAGAAATTTGGCCAAGTCTTGGTAAAGTTACAAACACTGTACACAAAAAGATGTATATGGGACTACACGAACATGTGGCGTTAAAACCTACCCCCGAGTTTTACGATGTTACATGACATATTTAGAATATAAAGGCATTTGAAGAGCCATGCTTTTCAAGGAACATGTCTTATCTGATGTTCTTCCACACTTGCATAATAAGAATGATAACACTCACAAATTATTTTTCACCTCTTCCCAGAACTCAACCTTCTCTTTAATTAAAGAACCAAACTGTGAAATGAGTCTTGCAGACTCTTGTACAAAGGTCTTTGAACCAGGTAGCACAGTAAATGACTTATTGACATATAATGTAGAGGAATCGTGGCATTTTTACTGCTGCATGTTTTTGTAATACAACATATATATATATATATATATATATATATATATATATATGTAAATTAATGCAATTAGGGATGACTAATGTATTACACATACTCACCAACTTTCTGCTATAGGATAAAAAAATGTGACGCATTTGGGAAGGAAAATATGTTTTAATTTGTACTCTCTATCTCTGTGCTATGAGATATAGCAATGCGAAGCACAATTCCGCTTCTACTATTATAAAAGGAGCGCTGGGTTTTAGCGCATCATATGTGAATGTGTCTGAAGGGTTAAGCATGATGGAGGCACTGAGCTTTGACTGATGACGTGACTGGATCCTGAGCTGTATCAATATTTCATGTGTAGAGAGCGAACTACCTTGGGGATTGGAAGTTGAAACCGAGACTTGTGAATTTGCTCTTTTGCTTGCGGATTTACTCTTCTTATCTATAGGTCAATGAATTCATGACCAAGTGCCAACAGGCTGCCCATGCTTCCCCCCCCCCCCCCCCCCAAAAGAGAAAAATGAAAACAAGAAGAAAGAAGTAATCAAAGTCGGGGGAAGTTTTGCAGCCGCTGATCAATGCATATGTATCAATCCCTCATGCTTGACCTTTCCATATCATACATTACTAATGACCTGTAAGCAAGCTATCTGTTGACTGTGTGTTACAAGCACTGACAACATTGCCTGGGGGGGGGGGGGCAGAAGGAAGAGAATGAGGGGAACTTGCCCCATACCATATCAAATGGCAAAAACAAGGGGGATGGGGTAGGTAGAGTGAAAGTAAAGTGGAGTTTGAAGGTGACGTAACGAGAACATAACTCCTGCCAGATGCAATATGGCCTTGTTTTCTCCCATTCCACATGCTTGTTAAATGATACCGACGCCCCCCCCCCCTCCCCCCTGAATTTTTAAAAACAAATTCTGTAGGTAGATCTATGTTATGCTATTGGCTCTCATGTACAGTCTTTCTATGTATTAGATGTAGCGTAAAGATCACATCACTCATGAGCCTTGTAAGCTAAGGAGACGGAAGTACAGTGGAGGTTGAGGAGAGTTCATATCTCATGTAGACATATGCCTGTTTCAAATACCATGTGCAGCCAAGCAGAACTGTCACGTTGTCTTGAGACATCTATACCCACTTGTTTGTAAGTTACCTTCTTACGATGAGAGAGATATAGGGAGAAGGAAGAAAAAATAAGAGTGAGAGCAAGAGTAAGAGAATGAGTAAGAAAATGAAGAGAAAGAAGAAAAGAAGAAGAAAAATAAAGAAAGAGGAGGAATAGAAAGAAAAAGAGGAAAAAGAAAGAGGAGGGGGAAAGGAAAGAATTAAATATATAGAGTGGGAGAGGAGGATAGAGGGAGGGACATGGATGAAAACGAATTTACGGGGGTGATGGAGAGTTCATATCTCACTTAGACATATGCCCGTTTGGAATAGCATGTGCAGCCAAGCGGAACTGCCATGTTGTCTCGAAACTTCTATACCCACTTGTTTGTAAGTTATCTTCTTAGCATGCAGTTGGACAGGGTTGGAATAATGTTAGATTGGGAGAGAGGGTGAGAAGAGGAAAAACAAGAGGAACAACAAGGAAGAGAAGGAGAAGAATAAGAAAATGTAAACAAAATCATGAAAAATATAAAAAAGAAGAAGGAAAAAAAGAAAGGAAAGAAAAAAAAATGGTGAGTGGAAGAGGAGAGAGCGGAAGGCAAAGAGAGATGGTTATGAATACAATACTACCGATTGATCAAGAGAAAGAGAAAGAAGGAAGATATATATATATATATATATATATTGAAAGTAGGGAGGGAGAGGGGGGGGGTAAAAACAGGGAGGGATATATGGAAATAAATTCAGATAGATTCTGGGGATGACTTGACATGTTTAGGATACCGTGTTCAGTCATGCAGAACTTGCATGCTGTCTAGAAATACTTCTACCCACTCGTTCGGAAGTAATCTACTTATCATGAAGTTTGATATTGGTTGGAATAATGTTAGATTGAGAGAGAGACAGAGAGAGAGAGAGAGAGAGAGAGAGAGAGAGAAAGCAGGGAGATATAGGTAGGTGGATCAAGAAATTTTCTGGTGGTGAGTTCATATCTCATATAGACATACATGTATGCATGTTCAGGATACCATGTTTAGTCATGCGGAACTGTTATGTTGTCTTGAGACATCTATACCAATGTTTTTGTCAGTTATCTTCTTACCATGAAGTTGGACAGGGTCGGTATAATGTTAGAGTGACAGTGAGAGCGAGAGAGAGAGAGAGAGAGAGAGAGAGAGAGAGAGAGAGGGAGGGAGGGAGAGAGAGAGAGAGAGAGAGAGAGAGAGAAGGCGAGAAGGAGAGGGGTTAGTTACAAAGAGAAAGACTGAGAAAGCGTTTGTAGAGAGAGAGAGAGAAACAGAGAGAGAAAGAGAGAAAGAGAGGAGTGGCACAGTTAGATAAAATGGTTTTAATAAAGACAGGACATGGAATTGAGAGGTGGGGAAGATAGGTAGTGAAGTACAGAATCAAAAAGTTGACATCAACATTTATATACCAAGAGAAATGGTCAGGAAAGATTAAATGAGAGAGAGAGAGAGAGACACACACACACACACACACACACACACACACACACGCACACACACACATACATACACGCCTATTATGTCCGAGGACCATGGTAAACTACCTTCTTTTGAGGACAGGTGTTATCTAGCTCTAATGGACATAATGGTGAAAAGACTCCTTAAAAAAGAGAGTGCTTTTAAGGACGCTCACAAAATTGAATGCGTTTTTTTAAGTTTAAAAATTTATCATAGACCTATACATCAGAGGACATGATTCTTGTTTTGGTATACGTCTGAGGTGGCTTTCTCTAATGTTAAAATGTCATATTTCAGCATTCGACAGAGGTCAACCACGCACACTTATCAAGATTGCGTAAACTTACGAGGACATTGTATTGAATAGGTAACACAGCTCAAGTTTACATAAATGTACGAGGACAACATGCGTTACAAATGTAACACAGTCTTTGTTTGTATAAACTTATGAGGACATATCAACACAGATAAAGTTTCTGTAAACTTATGAGGACATCACACAAATCAAGTTTGCAGCAACACACGAGGTCTTATTGCACAGGTATTTCACACATACCAAGTTTGCGCAATCTTATGAGGACATTGTATTGAATAGGTAACACAGCTCAAGTTTGCATAAATGTACGAGGACAACATGTGTTGCAAATGAAACACAGTCTTTGTTTGTATAAACTTATGAGGACATATAAACTTTATCTGTTTATTTTGCACAGGTATTTCACACAGATCAAGATTGCGTAAACTTATGAGGACATTGTATTGAATAGGTAACACAGCTCAAGTTTGCATAAATGTACGAGGACAACATGTGTTGCAAATGAAACACAGTCTTTGTTTGTATAAACTTATGAGGACATACAAACTTTATCTGTTTATTTTGCACAGGTATTTATCTCTTTTAGCGATCATGAGGAGTTTATCTCAACAAGGTTCCACTTTACATCATTCAGATACAAGCAAATTTAAACACTTCAAGTACACATGTAGATCATTTTCAAAGATTTGTTTTTAATAAAACTCAACACTGACAACAGGAACTTGACATACATGCAGTTAGTCATTCATAATGCATAAATAACTTTTCTCTTACATGTACAAAATCTCAGAAATCACCTCTTCATTTATCTTAAATGATAATCTACACAAAGTCTGATCATTGTGATCATTTATCGATCATTAAACACAGAATTTTCAAAATGAATATAATCACTAAGATTGTCAAAAATCCTTAAATTAGCAGCATGTTTCTGCATTTGTTAATGTGATAATGAAAGATTTGGTCCACACTTGTGGTCGATTGTGCAGACATTCAGTAATAAAAAGAAACGTCAATTTTAAGCATTTTCTGGAGGTAACCCCCCCCCCCCCCCACATACATTTGCTTCGTATGACCATGATTACATGGTACTTTGCCATAAGTTTTTTTTTTTTTTTTAACTTTTTTTTTTAACTTTAACAAAATATTTTCCTTCTCCACATATGGAAACGTTTGCTTGTATTTGTCTCATAAAAGAAGTTGAACACAAACTGACTCCCACACGGTGTTGAGTGCTCAGGGGTCACCGGCCACTGGCTTCATCGGGCAGGTAGTTCCATTATGTGAATGGGTAAATTAACTATTACAAAATGAGGGGACACATTACATTGTACAATAGGCACACACATTGTTTTTAATGTGTAAAGCATACTCTTTTATTAACTTACTTATTGCATGAAACTATAAAACCAAAATGCATTTTGTATTCTAACAATTGGAGTACAATTAAGAATAACAGGTGAATGAAATACATAAACACCACAAACACCTGGGGAGGAAGCATTCATAAATTTGAATAATTTCTATGATAAACGACTCTGATGAAACTATAAAACCAAAATGTAATTTGCGTTCTGGCAATTGGAGTACAAAGAATGATAACAGGTGAATGAAATGCTTCGACAACACAAACACCTGGGAAGGAAGCATCCATAAATTTGAATCATTTAGTTGATAAACGACTCCGTATGTGGACGTTTGGTGGAGCAGAAAGCAGTGAATTCTTAACAACACGAACCCATTTAACAGAATGTCGGAACGTAAATTAAAACAGTAAAATGGCTCTTATTTTAAAATAACTCATTAAATAAATACCCCAACTTCAGTGGTATCAGACAAAATATGTTATATCTTACTAATAATTAAAAAAAGATGTATAAACATTGTGAAAGTGTAGCATTTTACGATAAAAGACACCGATTTAGCGAAGATGACGTCATTTATGCGCTTGCATCAGGGAATTCAAGGTCAAAAGGTCAATTCAGACGCTGATAAGTTATTGGTCAAGCCTTTTTGTTTCCTTTATTCCGACAAAATTATACAATCAATCAAAACAAGTTTAATACCAGAAGAAAGCTAACGATTAGTATTTTCATTAACCGTTTGCCCCAAAGTCGCTTGACCACAGTGAAACGAGTGAGAGCTTACGAGAGCGGCCAAAGTGTGATTAAAACTCGCTATTTGCTCTTCTCCAACGCAAAAAGAGACGACATTGTGCTGGATAAATGTATTTTTTCCGACAAAAGTACAGAAAATTTGCATATGGTCTTTTTATATTATACTTTATGAAATGTTACCCGAGTGACTTCCGGGCGCCCCAATGCTGGAAAGAAACGCACATTTTAGAAAACTTCACTTTTTCATGGAAAAATGCTTATTTGTTCTATGCACGCAAGTTAGATTGAGCGGATGAGACAACGTTTCCATATGTTTTAGGACATGGACCTGTGACAAATAAACCCTTTTCAAAGGGAGATTTCCTCCTGGAATATCGTGGAAATATGGAATATTTATTTTGATCTCTTACACATAACTTGGGATAGAAATCAAATAGGTCAGGAAAAAATATTAATTTCAAGTAATGCACAGTACAGCTATAAAATGTGGATGGAGTATTCTGCACATGTGCACACTTTCCACCTTTATACACTTTGATTATAAAAGAAATGCTGACACACACGCATATTCTCTTTGTTATAATACATTGCAGTCCATGCTGTAAGATGCAGATTGAATGTCAATCACATCCATATTTCTTATAAAGGAATGTTTATGTTTGTTTTATTTCAGCAATGAATTTATTGTATCGTTTGTTTTCTTCTCAAGTGCAATTTCCGATTGTGTGTAGAAAGTTTGTTCATGGTTTGACAATTCAACAGCAGTTATACAAATTACCATTCTTGCAGCTATAATTTTTATCAAGGTGATCCATATTAATTACAAACCTTTTTGCTTTGTATTATCTGACATTTATAGAAATTATTTGAATGTTTGCATAGTATACAATTGAATTATTATCATTTTATTCATTTATTTGTTTTTGCTTGTGATTGAATCAAACCTCATGATTTGCATGGAGTGCAATAAATCATATTTATATACATACATGTGTGTGTGTACACTTTTCTTCATTGAGGTAAGATGGATTCAATGGGATTTTAGTTTGTTTTGTTTAATAATGTTATAAACCCTGTATTTAATCTTAGTCCAGGGTAGTGTTGCAAGTTCAGGATACTTATTTCTACATTCCTCACATTCTTCTTTCCCTGGAATTTGGAATGTCCTGTAATTTCTTTTGAAAAATGTGTCTACAGCATGGTGTTGTGCTGCTGTCCAGGTAATGCGTTCCGCTGTAAATGAAAAGAGATTTTATAGGAGAGTGAAAAGAAAGCATGTGCATATTTGATAACCTAAGGACAACTTCATGTGATGCAAAAAAGTCATCTAAATCAAGAAATTTTCACAATTCCTTCTAAAGTACATTGTCACATATCCAACATGTACATGCAATTAACCCTAATCCCATTGGGATATTTCGATCACTTCAGTCCATTGGGGGGGGGGGGGGTTATTGGGTCCCCCCTTCTGATCTCGGCCGTTGATCGCGCAATCGCGCCGAAATTCGGCATGCACATAGCTTGTGATGTTAACTCTTAGATTGCGTAGTTACATTATATTCTACTTGCATGCAGATTTTTGCAGTGATCGTGCAACCAGTAGCCAAGATCTGAAGATGGGAGGGGGGGGGGGGGGAGTTAAATCAACCTCTGGCAAAAGAAGACCCCCAAAACCCGGCTAAATTAGGGTTTAAATAGGACTACAAGCAAAGTTTGAACTACATGCTATTATTACCTTTTGACCTTTTTGCAACAGGATGGCTACTTTTTGGCTCCATAGACCCAGGAGGTCCATCCCTCTCATCTGAGAGCTCTGGAGAGAGAGAGAGAGAGAGAACAACATTATTTTCTGGATTAACTAGATGAATCCTCGACCGCACGCAGTCGGAATTTATGCCTCCGCCATCACGTGATCAGAATTATCTTTCCCATTTATATCACGCAATCAGAAATAAATATTTAACTGAATAAGATTAACACATGACTTCCTTTATACTGCATACTAATAATAGCGAGAACATGAATTGAACATTCATGTTTTCAATGACATATGTGACCGATGGCCTCATAAATCTAAAATCTAATCAGACCCTTGTCCTTCCCATATCCTCGCATGATAAAAGTTATTTGTCAAACAAATTATGAGCTATTGCGAGAAAAGGCCATTTCCGTGTATAAAATGACCTATGTGACCTTTGACCTCATGGCCTATGGATAATTGTACTTCCCATCTGCATAAAGGACCAAGGTTTTAAGTTGATAAGCTAAACCATGGTCTGTTTTCCTGTATTCAATGACCCCTGTGACCTTTTACCTAATAGATCCATAAATCTTATCAGATCATTATCCCTCCTATATGAATACATGACCAATGTTTCAAGTTCATACGTTAAACGTATTATAAGTTTAGCGAGAACAGACTATTTTCATGTATAAAATGACCGCTGTGACCTTTGACCTTATGACTCCAAAATTTGCTTGGATCAGTGTGCTTTTCATTTGCACACACGACCAAGGTTTCAAGCTGATATGTCAAACTGCTCTTAAGTTATCCCTAGAAAAAGCCATTTTTATGTATTTCATGACTTATATGACCTTTGACCTTTGACCTCATGACCCTAAAAATTTGCATGGATCATTGGGCTTCCCATCTGCATACATGACCAAGGTTTACAGTTGATATGTGGAATCGTTCTTGAGTTATCACAAGACAAGTGCATTTTCATGTATTCAATGACCTCTGTGACCTTTGACCTCATGACTCCAAAATCTAATCAGATCATTGTCCCTCCCATAAGCATACATGACAAAAGTTTCAAGTTGATACCTTTATTGGTTCTAAAGTTATCGCGAGAACGAAAACGGGAGGGACGGACAACCCGAAAACATAATGCCTCCGGCACCACCTTCGGTGGGCGGAGGCATAAAAATATACCAAAGTAAAGATGATTATAATACCCCATCCTCCATGTGTGTACTGAATCTCCTGACCATTGCTCAATATGAGGAAGTAATTTGATCTGCAATATTTCTACTTGATTTATTGCCATGTGCTGTAACCATGGCATCATAATTTCTGGCACATGAAAACAGGGCGTTTTACATTCACATGACCTATATGTGTGTGAAATATTAAAAGCATCTCTAAAAAACAAGAAGTGCTTTGATCAGCAAAATTTGAAACAGATGGACCAACGGACCAAGTGGCCGACCTATACAACTTTTGTTTGGCGGTGGTGTTAAAATAAAAAAAAAATCACATAATATCAACTAGCAAAAGCAGAACGCACCTAGCAGTCTGGCTTGCATCATGCAATGCATTGCAGCATTCTTTGTGACATGGGAATATCAGATCATTTTTAAATATCCCTTTCAATATCCCTATAATTTTCATTGAATTTACATAAAAATGGCACACTATGTCTCGTTCTGCTATTCAGAGAGAAATAAATTGTGTTTTTAATGCAGTATAGGGCTTGATTGAACAGCTTTGTGAGGACATTAATCTGTGAATGTAACATAACTTGTTTCCATAAATGTGTGAGGACAATTGCAGTGCAAAAAAGTTCTTGTTTGGACTAATATTGCATGAGACATAAAACTAATATGCATAAATGTCTGAGGACATCACACGGAAATGTAACACGGAACTTGTTTCCATAAAGGCATAAAGACATCGTGCAACAAATTCTGGCACAGAAATATGTAACGACTTTGTATATAAATGTGGACATTCCATTGTCCAATTTATAACTTCTCTTTCATTCTTCTTTTCTGTCTCAATTGTATTATTTTATTTTTTTGCACTCCTTTCAATAGCCAATTAGAAATCGTGTATCCTCTCCCAGAAACTAAGTGGACTATTTGTCCATGCACTTCATTGTAGTATTGCAAATTATGCACATTATCAAGTTTCTAATACATTTTCTCTGCTTTTAACTTTTTCAAAGTTGAAATAGGAGATTCAGGAACTGGTTACCTCTTGATCTCTTTGCAATTCTATGGCTCTTAGTTCGATCTCTCTTAACTGGGGGCTCTGAAAAAAAATAATTACGAGACAAAGTACAATCTAATAGGCAACTAAATCACTCCATAGGGGTAAATGTAGTTGATGAATTTAGAAAGAGAAAATATATAGAGAATGGCTTTAGATATATATTAGCAGAATTTTTTAATCAGCCAAAAAGTGCTTTGAAAAAATTGGACGATGAATTGTGTCTCCATGATCCCCTTTTGATTTTCAAAAACTTGGCAGCAAAAGAAGCATATTAAGACTTTTAACTAAAAACTCATATAACGGCATACCATGAAATATCTCAGTATAAACTGTATAATTGTTTATCCTTCTATTTCTTTGAATTATGTTAACAGAAAATTAAGGATTTACCTGCACACACACATATATAAAGTAAAAGTCATCAGAGATCATATGATCAAAATAACAATGTTGCACTAAAGCATATCTTCACCTGTCCATCCTTACTATTCAGCTAATTTCTCTATAACTCCCAACAAAGCAAGCTTTCCTCATAAGATGTCAGGCATTTTCTGACTTTTATCCAGGGCTAGAAACTACAATTTTGGTTAAGACCAAACTATTCAACACCTTCACAAGCACATGCATGTAACTTTATTATTCTAATAAAAATGGGACGTGAAAATAAACATGAAGATTTTGGTTGTTAGTATAGAAATAGATTCACATGCAATGACTAAAAAATGAAAACAAAATACTAATAGATGTATTTTTTAGGTAAATCCAAACTTCTTATAATGGGAACATTATGAGGTTACAGTTGTTTAAAAATTGATGCCAGATGCAATGAAAGAGGTTATACATGTATAGGATGGTATACAATTAGATACATGAAAGAAACTCATGTCTTTATGACTTGTCACCTTCTTGAATATCCCCATCTGGGTTGTGCCCTTCTTCAGGGGTGTCCACTTCTTGACTATCTCCATCAGGGGTGTCCACTTCTTGACTATCTACATCAGGGGTGTCATCTTCTTGAATATCTCCATCAGGGTTGTTATCTTCTTCACAAGCTTCTGCAGTGAAAAGAGAGGCGAGAGGCTTGGGTGCCTGGCCGGTTTGAACATAAACAGTTGACTTCAAAAAGGTCCATCTACTTGGAGGATAAAATCTGGGTTTCTAGATACCCCCATCTTTCTATTTCCTCATCGAATGGCCAGGACTTTATTTTTTTTTTTCTTACTACATAGGGCTTCATGACCATAATTCTAGGAACACGCAGGTTCCTAGAAAGAATACTTCCAGCATATTTAACCCTGATCCCATTGGGATATTTTGATCGCTTCAGTCAATGGGGGGAGGGGGGGGGTGTAGCTTATTTGGCCCCCCTTCTGATCTCGGCCGTTGATCGCGTGATCGCGCGGAAATTAGGCATGCACATAGCCTGTGATGTTAACTCCTAGATTGCATGATGCTAATTAAGCATTAATTATGCGTGAATTCTAATAAGCAGAAATAAATCACCTACTGAAGCTCCAAATGTGCTGATTTTTGGTCTAGATACTCCTACTAATGTTACAGACAGATTATCATGAAAAGATTTCTAACAAAATTATTATGTATTTTATTGTTTTTTGAATTTCTTATGTATTTCTTTGTTTTTTCAACTTTATTATTTCTATTGTTTTTTTTATAGAAATTGTCGGTGACATTATTAGGGTCATACTATGATAAAAAGTACATTTTTAATCCATTTCATCCAGTTATATGAAAAATAGACCAGGATTTATGAATATTGACTGAAAACACAATTTGCATAAATCACGTTTTTGAATCATATTTGGCTTGACGAATTTTTTTCAAATGCGCGTAGCGTCGGTACCGCATACCTGGTTGTCGCAAATTTGGTTTCAAAAGTTGCGCGAGACTTGAAACAAAAAAGTCACAAAAAATCATGGCGCGAGCTTTTCGCGTTTCAGACTTCTCACGAAAAATGTCGAGGGGGGGGGGGGATTAGGGTTAATCCAAAAAAAAGCCTGGGCTATTTTTGGTCTCTAAGAATACTGGGGGGAGGGGGATAAAGTGCCCCAAGTCTGTTTAGGGTTAAATATAACACCTGACACATGTGTTTTCACAAATAACTCCCTCTGAAAGGTAAGCAGATCTGAAACTAGATGAATACTCGACCGCACACGGTCAACATTTATGCCTATGCCATCACGTGATCAGAAAGATATTACCCCTTATACAACGCGATCAGAAATATTTGGGTGATTTTTATAAGTTTTTGGGGCCCTGTGACCATTGACCTTTGAAATCCTGAAACCAAAATGTAATCATCTTCCTATGCTTATACATACTTGAGCCAGGTAGAAAGCTGTTCAATTGTTCTGAAGTTATCGTGGTAACAAGCTATTTTGGATGATATTTTAAAAGTTTTTCTTGGCCCTGTGACCTTTGACCAACTGAACCACAAATCTAATCAGTTCATCCTGACATGCAGACACATGCAAATTTATACATAAAATCAAACTTTTTGCTCTATTTCACTAAATAAAGCTCCTAGAAAGCTGATTTTTGTGTAAATATTCTTTATATGATTCCTTACAATTCTACTTGTAAACAAAATTGCAATGAGAATCAATTTCCTATGTTTTATACTGTTTTATGAATTTCTTACCTATTTCTTTGTTTTTTCGACCTTTTGTTTTTTATTGTTTTTTAGATGGAATGTGTTGCAAAACATTTTGGAAGCATATTTATGCTAAAATAATTCATTTCAGCCCATAAAAGAGAAGGTATTCATATATTTATGATTTCTTACTGAAAACACATTTTACATAGACTTTGTACACAAAATCACGTTTTTGAGCCATTTTCGGTCTGACATGCATGCACTAAAGGTGGGCGGCGGCGTAACCATATGCCCGATTTTCGCGAAAATGGTCTTAAAAGTTGCACAAGACTTGATAGTAAAAAATCAGCGAGTCACGCGGTGAAAAAATTTCGCATGGCAGAGCGGTTGCGATGAAATTTGTCGAGGGGGGGGGGGGCCAGTTGGAAAAGGGTTAAGCCATGGAATAAGCTATGGAAAAATAGGTGTCATCTTAAACAGAAAGAACACTTTTTTCTGTGATGTGACACAATATGGAAATATGTTTCTGATATATTTGCTATGTATCCGTAAACTCAATTTTCCAAAGTTTGTATGAGGGGAAAGGGTTCATAGCAGAATGGAAAAGTGTTTTGGAAAAAAAGATGTTTAATAATACATGTACATGTACTTGTTCTTACCATTTAGGTCGACATTGATACTGTCCAAGGACATTCCAGAGCACTTGTTCATCTGTCCCTTTTCCATTAGCAGCAGTATTTTTGCGATCTTAGCTACCTGAAGTGTGTTCTCTGGTAATCTATAATACTCTCGGTGAACTTTAATGTTGTGGCCCATAAAGGTGGCAAGTACATCTAGTTCATTGTCCTTCAGACATAATATCTGGGACATGGTTGCGACATGTTTCCTTAGCTGAGTGGATGTGATGTTTTCTGGATGTTCTGCTTTAGACATCCGAGCAAACTTTCTCACAGCATCACAACCCCTATAAGGTGTGGTACAACCTGGGCGTGCAAACAGGTACATATTGGACTCTAGGACTCCAGCATCTTGCCTAATGCTTTCCTCTGCTAAAACATCAAGTGCTTCTTTCATTTCCTGCGTCAGAAGCACAGGGACTGTTCTCCCTCTCTTTCCAGGTATTTCAACTCTGGTCAGTTTCTTGCAAAGCTCCTTTTCAAGCTTGTTGAGGCCCTGTAGAACGTCTTTGTTGAGATCTCCAGTACGTTTTTTGTAGTTTTCTACTGTCATCCTTTCAACCTCTCCACTGCGTTTCCTATTGAACAGGACAGTCTGAGCAAGCATGGCTTGGCCTAACCTGGAGAAATCATCACTGCTTACAGAACCTGCTGTGATGTGTGTCATTGACTCCTGCATCTGGTGCTGGATGGTGTTGTGCACGCTTTGTATGTCAGAAGACAAAGGAATTATTGTTGGTCTGTTCCTCTTTGCTGTGTAGAGAGTCTTGAGAGCACCTGTTGAAACTTTTTCTGCCCATTCAAGAGAGCACAATTCACCAAACTGTTCAGCCCTTTCTTTCTGCCCTGTGTCCCCATTCTTCAGTGCTTCAGCCATAAGAAACCTGGAACACTTTTTGAGTGAGTGTCCAACTTTTAAGGCTAGAGAAGGTGTCTTATACTTGCCTGAGCTCTCATCCAAGCCTGCTATTTTGTTGACAGCTCGGACCACATCATCAAACACCTTTGGGTCAATGGTATCAGACAGGCAGTTGATGGATGGTCTGATAGATCTCATTTGAAGGAGCAGACGGCCCATTTCCCTTAGTTTTTGACCAACATAGTTATAATGGTTGTTTGAGTCCTGGAACTTGGATAGAAGATGTCCACCGAGCTTTATGATTAAATCATCATGCCTCACTGCCAAACTAACATCATCATGAGTCATTCGGCTGAAGACTTCATCTCGAAGTCTTACAGGTACTTCTTTTGGCATAGGCAGCAACATCGAACATTGTGACTGAAAACTTCCAGATCCAGACTGAGCACTTCCGACACATTTCTTTCGATGCTTCCACAAGTCACTCCTTACATACCATGCGTAACACTGAGTGCAAGGCAGGTAGTCCTTCACTGGTGTTTCATACGTTGGCCGTTTAAATGGAATCAGCAAACCCTTCCCTTCTCTTAATACTTGAAGATTATGAGCATGATTGCCTTTATTTCTCAAAAGTTCAAGTAAGTCACGTCGATTCTTAGACTTCTTTGGAAATGCCATGATTCTTTTAACATCAATTTCGTTTGAATGATGTGACTGGATGTGACGAGCAAATTTTGGAGTGTCCTTCTCGCAAAATACACAAAAATGCCGTTTGTCCCACTTCCTCCGAAGTTCGTTGTTTGCTGTTAGAACCTTTATACATGTATCCTCAGCTTTGTCTGTTATATCCTTTTCTTGATTTCCAGCGTTGTTTTCTGAATCAAGTTGACCAATACTGGACTCATATAGACGATCTGCTCTGGATGTATGCAGTACGCGATATGGAATGACATCAGATTCACAATCATCATTGCTATCTTCACTGTCTTCACTCTTCTTCCATGTTGGGTCAGCGTCTGTATCATCAACGTCTTCATCATCTCTTTCTTCCTATGGAAACAAATGAAACACAAAGTAAATACAAATGCAGCGATCAAGCTGATAATTGATGAAATCCAATAATAGGGGAAAAAAAATCAGTTTTAATGAAAAATGAGGAAATTAAATTTTCACATGTTTATTAAAATAGATACGCAAGTGCATATAAGGCATCTATGGTATTATAAACATTGTAACAATTCGATAGTAACACTTGTTTGCATGAATCTGTTAGATTACACTGCAATGCAACAATGAACTTGTTTCCATAAGTGTTTGAGGAAATTACATGTACACTGCAAATTTGACATAGAAATTGTTTACATATTCAAGAGAGGACGTGCATGTTTTAATACTAAGCAATTTCAACACACTTATTGAGGATCTCTATACTTACCGAAGATGGTATGTTCTTTTCCTTTTCCAGACTGGGCTACAATACATGAGAGAAAGAAATGAAACATTTCATCATTGCCATCTTTTTTTGTTTACCCCTTTTCTTACCATTTATTTCCTTGTATTTTTAAAAATTTTCTTTTTCTTTTCTTTTTCCTTTTTATATTTCACTTTGTCCCCGTTTTTGTTCCTTTTCTTTTCTGTTCTGCCCGAATACGTGAGTGCAAAAAAGGCATCTACAGGTATCATAAACATTTTAACAATTCGATAGTAACACTTGTTTGCATGAATCTGTTAGATTACACTGCAATGCAACAATGAACTTGTTTCCATAAGTGTTTGAGAACAATACATGTTCACTGCAAATTTGACATAGAAATTGTTTACATATTCAAGAGAGGACATGCATGTTTTAATACTAAGCAATTTCAACACACTAATTGAGGATCTCTATACTTACCGAAGATGGTATGTTCTTTTCCTTTTCCAGACTGGGCTACAATACATGAGAGAAAGACATGAAACATTTCATCATTGTCATTTTTTTTTTTTACCCCTTTTCTTTCCATTTATTTTCTTGTATTTTTAAAACTTTCTTTTTCTTTCCTTTTCCCTTTTTATATTTCACTTTGTCGGCATTTTCGTTTCTTTTCTTTTCTGTTCTGCCCGAATACGAGAAGGCAAATAAGGCATCTACAGGTATCATAAACATTGTAACAATTCGGTAGTAACACTTGTTTGCATAATAAAAAAATAATAATAATGAAATATCTTTATATAGCGCATAACACAATCATGAGAAAGTCCCTATGCGCTTAAACAGAAATAGAAGTGTGAAAGAAATCAGAAGAGCTGGGATTATCACCAAGGTTATTGGGTTTCAAAGAGATAAGTTTTTAAGTTACTCCTGAATTTGTCATATGGTGTGATATTTGTGAAGAAGTTTGGTAGGCTATTCCATAAAATAGATGCTTCATGTGAAAATGATCTCTCACCATATGATTTTGTTGCAGTTTTAGGTACAGTGAACATTGATCTTTTACGAGAACGTAATGATCTCTCCGGTTTATATTCAATGAGCAATTCTGTGAGATATATGGGTGCTAACTGTTAAATCTGTATTACACTGCAATGCAACAATGAACTTGTTTCCATAAGTGTTTGAGAACAATACATGTACACTGCATATTTGACATAGAAATTGTTTACATATTCAAGAGAGGACGTGCATGTTTTAATACTAAGCAATTTCAACACACTAATTGAGGATCTCTATACTTACCGAAGATGGTATGTTCTTTTCCTTTTCAAGACTGGGCTACAATACATGAGAGAAAGACATGAAACATTTCATCATTGCAATCTTTTTTTGTTTACCCCTTTTCTTTCCATTTATTTTCTTGTATTTTTAAAACTTATCTTTTCTTTTCTTTTCCCTTTTTATATTTCAACTTGTCCCCATTTTAGTTCCTTTTCTTTTCTATTCTGCCCGAATACGCAAGTGGAAATAAGGCATCTACAGGTATCATAAACATTGTAACAATTTGATAGTAACACTTGTTTGCATAAATCTGTTAGATTACACTGCAATGCAACAATGGACTTGTTTCCATAAGTGTTTGAGAACATTACATGTACACTGCAATTATTTGACATAGAAATTGTTCACATATTCAAGAGAGGACATGCATGTTTTAATACTAAGCAATTTCAACACACTAATTGAGGATCTCTATACTTACCGAAGATGGTATGTTCTTTTCCTTTTCCAGACTGGGCTACAATACATGAGAGAAAGACATGAAACATTTCATCATTGTCATTTTTTTTTTTTTTTTTACCCCTTTTCTTTCCATTTATTTTCTTGTATTTTTAAAACTTTCTTTTTCTTTCCTTTTCCCTTTTTATATTTCACTTTGTCGGCATTTTCGTTTCTTTTCTTTTCTGTTCTGTCCGAATACGAGAAGGCAAATAAGGCACTGGTTTTTTTTAACTATGACCAAATAGCTTAATGACCCTTTGACAGCCTGAAACTTTACAAAGATAAAGAATTCGAAATCAGTTACAACTTTTTCTTGTAGCATGGACCTAGGTTTACCTCCCATAGCTTAGCGAAAAAATGTCAGCGTTGCTTTATGTGCATGAGGTATCCCTGAACAGCCAATTGTTTACGGAATTTTGTAACAAAATTGACATACCTTTTTGGTTGAAGCCGAAAAAAATATATACCCACAAGCAATATGTTTTTTTTTCTATTGATGATTAATGAGCATGGGTGGATCTTAAAGAAAGTTAACAGTCATCTGAATTAACTCCTGTATTTTGATAGAACAGTGCAATTGAAAATGGTGTTTCGGACGTTACATTTTCCGTAAACAATGTAGGCCCTCATTTAACCCACTAGAACAATCATTTAATGAGATTGTTTATGGTTTGAATAAGCTTATTAGTTACTCCAAGTCATTAAATTAAAAGAAAATATAATGTAATTGTAGTAGCGCTTATATTATAAATATATTCAAAATTTGAAAAAGTTGTCTCATTTTCCGTAAACAATTTTGTAACGTCCGAAACAACTTTCCAATTGAAGTAGTAGAAAATATATGAACTGCAGGACCTATCTTTCGTAACATTTTTTAAACATTTCATGGCGGCTACCCACCAAAAAAAAAGAAATTTGCAATACATCATTACAATACTATTTTATAGTTAAAACCAATTTTCCGTTAACTGTTGTAACGTCCGTAACGAATGTAACGTCCAAAACAAAAAATACCAAATAAATGATGATAATCCATATTTGAGGGTATCTGGAGTAAATAAATCATTATGAAATAAGTTATTATAAGTCTTAACACAAGTCAAAACACAAATCAGGTCTTTCAAGTCCAATAATTTTGTGTAAACTCAAGAAGGGTGTTTCGGACGTTACACTATTTGATTGTTAACACATAGTTTGCAAATTTCAACTAATTTTCGATCATATGTGCAAGTTACGATTTCACAATGCACACTCCTGTTAAAAACACTATTTTGATAATTTCATTTAGATCTAAATATAAAAATATGAAGAAATATGATGCAAAAAATCAAATTTTCCGTAAAATATCTAAATTTTCTGCAAAATTGACTTATTAAACATAAATATTGAAGCCACAATTTGTGGTGCAAGGCATTCCTGGCTGCTTTAGTATATCCTTAATTGTAATTTATCAGAAAAAATCTCAATAAAAGTGACTCATAAAAATTATTCAACCATTTTAACAGCACTTTCTGTTATGCTGTTAGCACGTTTCGGATGTTACATTAAACTGTTAACAGACATTTTCATACTTTAACTAGTTCAAATGAGGGGCAAAGATAGATGTGAGAATAGCAAATTTCAATTTTTCAACCTCTCCTCTCGCTATTTACATTGCTGTGTGTTTGCAAATCATCACGTTTTCATTTTTACAGAGGTTGTTCCAAATTATGTCATATAACCAAAGATTGTATGGTCAATCTAAACTATTTGGTAGGTTACAAAAGCTCAAAATCACCCACTTAAGCAATACCCAGTGTACATGTACATGACATGGGTATGATACAGGTATATAAAGTTGATAGAATCAAGCAAATTAAAATGTTTTCTAAAAATCTATCGGAAATATGAATTTTCATTTGAAAATACCTTTTAAAAAGGGCACTCAGTACACGTAACTAATCTGTGTAGAAAGTTCATACATGTATAAAAGAAAAGGGCATTACCAGTAATACCTTATTTAATGATCCTAAACATATACATGTAGTATCCTCCTCAAATGTATGCATACATACAAAATATGTAAGCTAGTGTAGGGATTTATTTTGAACTTCTGAAACTCCCCTTCATATCTATGATTCATCCTTTCATATTAACAGGTCATCCCTCATTCACATTCACCCTTTTCATCCACCATCCTTTCATCTGTCTATATCTCTCTCTCATTGGTTTCAATGTTCACCTGATGCAGTCAAGCTTATATAATATAATTTACATATCTATGAATATTCAATGTATACCCTTTGTTTATGTTTGAATATTCAAGAATACTTTGTGATGTTGATTTATACTTGTATGGGACTATATGAATATTTATTGATTTATTATACTTTGCATGGAATGTATGTGGAATGCTACATAGAATGCTGTAATGCTTTTACACATTAAAACCTGGTCAGTTAGCTAGTAGTTATCAATCCTACAACATGTCTGCTGGGCTGCCTCTGTGTTAAGAGTGGTAGGAATTATCTGTTAGAACCGCAACCCTACACTAGTGTGAAATATAAATGGGCTGTCCGTTTTTGTTTTTTTTCCTCTACGAAATGTCAAAGTTGGCGTGCGGCGCTGCGGCCTTATCGCCGGCAAATACGGTACATGTTTAGCCTACACTGTATATTGTTTGTCACCTGTAATATAGGCACAGCAAGAGTTAAGATCTATCAACCAACCAACCGACCAACAAATCTATCCATCCATTCATCAATCGGTCATCAATTAAATAAATAAATAAATACTTATTTAAGAGCATTAAAACATATTGTCGTTTAAAACAGCCTCCTAATACAAATAGTGGGAAAGGATGATTGTTACTACAGTAGTATTATAACCTAAAACACACACAATTTTAGAATACATCAAAAATGTCTCATTCTCGAGATGTACATACATTAGGATTCACTTATTTCTTATTACCGTACTTACATGACTGGGGGTACTTTTTTATAGTTTTATTTTTTTAAAGATTTGTCAATGTTTTTCTTACATACATGAATGTGTTAGTGATATTATTGAATGACACACTATATAGTTGAAGGCAAAGAACATTAGCAAGATGATTAAACATCTATATTGTAGAGTTTGTAGAAATTGATGATCTCATTGAAATGTTAACATCGTGTAACATCCGAAACAAACCATAGTATACATTTCACACTGTTGTTCATAACATGCAATAAAGAGTATGTTTCTATGTGAATTTTCTAAGGAGTTTTGATGACTACAATTGCTATTAGCTTTATATTTCACTCTGTTAGATCACATAAGCATTTTTAACCACCGGTACACGTTCTTGAGATGAATAATATACCTTACATAAATTGAGTGGTCGATGAAGACAAACTTGGTATACATGTATGTGCTAAACTAATTAAAACTGCACAATTTTTTTCCATAAATGTTACAGAAGTATTTTTTTGCAAACAATTAATGTAATTGAGGTCAATAATACCTAAAGAAAAGCAATTAACTTGAATAAAGTTATAATGTTAACAGTGTGTAACGTCCGAAACATCAGTGGTGTGCCATATGAAAATTATTAGGCAATGCACTGGTTCCCAATTTTTTGGCATGTATTTACCTTATATCATCAGTTGTTATAATAAAATAAGTTTGACCTAAGAAAAAAGCATTTTACCTATTGAAATAAAAACTTGTTATTGTCAAAACCCTAATTTAGAGCTATTTTTCACTTTCAAGGGATACAAAATCTGTATTTTTCAAGATAGAAACTCAACCATTTGCATGAATAATCTCTGAAACATATTCTTAAAGACCCAACATATTTAAAGGTGTAGTTAATAGCAAATGAGTTTTATATCACAGTTATTAGATATGCTATAGTTCACAATAAAATTGTAAAAACTCAAAGTATTCATATCTGGTGAATAAATAAGGAGATAGATTAAGGTCCAGAATTTGCATTTCTCAAAAATATGATTAGTCCTGATCATGAAAATACAAGTTTGAAGTGAGTAAACATAATTTCATTTTGGACCCATTTGTGGACACATTTGGTATAAGTTAAAAAAACCAGTGCCATAAGGCATCTACAGGTATCATAAACATTGTAACAATTCGATAGTAAACCTTGTTTGCATAATAAAAAAATAATAATAATGAAATATCTTTATATAGCGCATAACACAATCATGAGAAAGTCCCTATGCGCTTAAACAGAAATAGAAGTGTGAAAGAAATCAGAAGAGCTGGGATTATCACCAAGGTTATTGGGTTTCAAAGAGATGAGTTTTTAGGTTACTCCTGAATTTGTCATATGGTGTGATATTTGTGAAGTAGTTTGGTAGGATATTCCATAAAATAGATGCTTCATGTGAAAATGATCTCTCACCATATGATTTTGTTGCAGTTTTAGGTACAGTGAACATTGATCTTTTACGAGAACGTAATGATCTCTCCGGTTTATATTCAATGAGCAATTCTGTGAGATATATGGGTGCTTACTGTTAAATCTGTATTACACTGCAATCCATAAGTGTTTGAGAACAATACATGTACACTGCAAATTTGACATAGAAATTGTTTACATATTCAAGAGAGGACGTGCGTGTTTTAATACTAAGCAATTTCAACACACTAATTGAGGATCTCTATACTTACCGAAGATGGTATGTTCTTTTCCTTTTCCAGATTGGGCTACAATACATGAGAGAAAGACATGAAACATTTCATCATTGCAATCTTTTTTTGTTTACCCCTTTTCTTTCCATTTATTTTCTTGTATTTTTAAAACTTTACTTTTCTTTTCTTTTCCTTTTTTATATTTCAACTTGTCCCCATTTTAGTTCCTTTTCTTTTCTATTCTGCCCGAATACGCAAGTGCAAATAAGGCATCTACACATAAACATTGTAACAATTCGATAGTAACACTTGTTTGCATAAATCTGTTAGATTACACTGCAATGCATCAATGAACTTGTTTCCATAAGTGTTTGAGAACATTACATGTACACTG